GGTTCCAGTCAGACCCTCCCGCCTGTGGAGGAGCAGGCTTGGCCCTACCCTGCCCTTTGCAAAGAGCCTGAGCTGCCCACAGCTGCCCCCATCGCAGCCCCGCTGGAGAGACCCGTAACCTGGCAGCCCCAGGCAGCAGGCGGAGTGCCCGTGATGGAGCCCTGCCGGTGGGGTAGCAGACCGAGGAGCAGCCAAGGCCCGGGGCCACGCACTGAGTCAGCCAGCAGGGCTCAGCTGCTCCCACCTCTTCTGGGGGAGAGTAAGCGGGATTTGGCTCCCAGCTGCCGTGCACACAGCAGCTCTGCTACGTGCCCAGGGTGACCCGACGTCCCATTTGGACCGGGCCCGGCCCCTCCTCAGCCCTAGCCTGGCTCTCCCAGCCGGCGTGGCGAAAAGGGGCATGTGTCCTGTGAGCTCTCACAGGCTGTCGCAGCAATTCCCCCTTTTGTAAAGGAAACGGGGTGTGGGAGGGGGCGAGGCCCCTGGGAGAGAAGGGGGAGGGGGAGAGGAGGAGAATTGCCTTTGGGCTTGGCAGCCGCTGCCTGGGGCTGCTGAAGGGATCCCAGGCTCGGCGCTGGAGGCGCTGGAGGAGGGAGATGGGGCAGGCAAGGCGACTGACAGAGGAAAGCCTGCCTCCCAGGGAGGGAGTGAGCTGGGTTACAGAACAGGGCAGGGACAGGTTCCCCGGGCATGCCTTAATTGCAGCCTGGAGGCAGTGACCTCGGCTGACCCCCTCCTGTGGAATGAGCAGTCCCAGGGGGCTGGAGCATTCATGGGGGGCAGGGGGGGTTTGCAGGGCCACAGGGCAGCCCCACCCTGTGGCCTTGAATTTCTGCCAATGCCACAGCGCCCCCTGCTGGACACTGCACCGGACAAAGCAACTACACCGTTAGCCGTGTGTGTGTGTGTGGGGGGGCTCTGCCTCAGCTTGGCACAGACAGCCCTGGCCTGAGCGTGCAGGAGAGCTGGGCACAGGGGCAGGCGTGCCCATAGGCATGGGGCAAGGAATCCACAGCAGCTGCCGACCCACGGTTACAAAGAGACTGTTTTATTGGGTGCCCCGAGTCCTGGTCAGGCTGGGTGGGAGGGGCCCCGGGGGCATCAAGTCCTCTTCTTGCCTTTGCCAGCCTCGCTGTGGACTGGTAGAGCGTGGAGGAAATCTTGTTGATGTAGTAGAGGCCGATCATGGAGAAGATGAAGCTGGGAGGAGAGAAAAGGGCAGGCCAGTCAGCACCATCCCTTGCCCATACACAGGGCACCTCACCCGCTCCCCACGAGCTCCCCACGGGCCTGGAGCCAAGGTCCAGCTAGTAGAGGCCAGACTGGGGGCAGCTTTTCCCACACCAGCTGCTGCAGGCACTGCCAGCTTCCTGGGAAGCCAGGGCGAGATGGACCAGGAGTCTGAGACCTCCATGCCATTCTCACATGCTCTGTTACCAGGTAGGGAATGCCCCCACCAGCCGTACGGACAGCGGGGGAATGGCCCCGCGGCGGCAGCAGGGAGCAAGGCCCAGCAGTGGCTTCTTAGAGCAGCGGTGGGATGCTGGGGTTCCCCAGGGCCAAGATCCGAGGGGGCCTGGTCCCTGCTATGCCCCGGGGTGGGTTCTCTACGTACCAGGTGGTCACGCACACTCTGTGGATCAGGCCTGATGCAAAGAGCGCAAGTAGAAGACAGAGGAGAACTGGAGCAAAAGAGAGAAGGGGAGAGATGAGAGAGGCACTGAGTGCCTGCCCCAGGCATGCTGTATGGGCAACAGGGCCAAGATCCGAGGGGGCCTGGTCCCTGCTATGCCCCGGGGTGGGTTCTCTACGTACCAGGTGGTCACGCACACTCTGTGGATCAGGCCTGATGCAAAGAGCGCAAGTAGAAGACAGAGGAGAACTGGAGCAAAAGAGAGAAGGGGAGAGATGAGAGAGGCACTGAGTGCCTGCCCCAGGCATGCTGTATGGGCAAGCTCGAGCTCCCTGCAGACCCAGGTGCTCAGGAATGGCCAGTCCCGTCCCGTCCCGTCCCCCCGGGATTTTGCAGTTTCTTTTAATTAACCAGGAGCTATGAATGTGGTGCCCTTCCCCCGGCACGGCTGGGCACTTACTCTCCGGGAATATTTTGGCTTGGAATCCTTTGCCGAAGACCAAGCTCTCCAGGTTGTTGAAGGCCTGGTGCCCGAGTTAAGGAAAGGAAGGGGGTAAAGGCAGGGGCACCCCCCACCCCACTCCACTGAGGCCCAAAGGATACTGTGAGGGAGAAGATGAAGAGCGCGGATCCCAGCAGCCCGCCCTGGATGGTCAGCCACTCGGTGGAGGCCAGCTGCTTGCTGTACATCTGCATCCCGGCGAAAAGCAGCAGCGACAGCAGCGAGGAGAGCACCAGGGAGGTGCCTGTGCCCACGGCTGGGGAGAAAGGAGAACCAGGCAATGGGGCCGCCGGGGAGGCTTCCTCCCGGGCAACCCAGCGAAGCTGCGGCCGCTCAGGGCCAGCTCATGCTGCTGCAGGACGGGTCGCAGGAGGTGCCCAGGAGCCAGGGGGATGGGGGCAGCAGGCGCCACAGCCCTGCGGCAGGGCACCATGGGCACAAAGCCTCGGGGATGGGCTGGCTCACCTCCCCTGGTGGGCAGCCCAGCCCCCTGGGCAGCACCTGCTGGGGCACAGGGTCTGCCCAGCCCCCCACCCTGCCCTCCGGCAGCGCCCCACTGGGGCAGTGTCTGCCCAGCCCCCCACCCTGCCCT